GATTATTTATACTCTTTCGAGTCGAGCTAGATGATCTAAATTTTGCAATGAAAAGAAAAGCCAGGAGAAGAACCTACGTACCCAACATTATGCGACGCGTTTCGCCGTTGGTTAAGCGGCTCATCAGGCATATTGGGCTATGTGGCTTTACAAAGGTCGTACGTTGATAACTTGTATTTATTCCGCCCTGATGCGAAACTTGCATATGCGAATTAAATTCAAATTTGTCAAAGTTCGACATTTGTCTTCATTGTAGGAACAGTCCTTTTCAAAGCAGATTTTTGTTGTAGCGATGGATAATTAATCCACACACCTACAATTGCTTCCATGGTATACACATGTTTTTGCGCAACCGTTTTGGAAGTGTGTTGATGGCTCAGAACGTTAAGTGGTCTTGGCAACATTTGTGTTGCTCCGAGGACTTAGGTTCGAGCCCTAGCCGAGCTCGGCTGAAATTAATTTTTGTTATTTGAATTTTGCCTTGTAAGGGCAGTGATCATTTGAAAGTGATTTTTAAGTGATTATTTATACTCTTTCGAGTCGAGCTTGATGATCTAAATTTTGCAATGAAAGAGTATAAATAATCACTTAAAAATCACTTTCAAATGATCACTGCCCTTACAAAGCAAAATTCAAATAACAAAAATTATTAATTATAAACATGATTTCTGAAAATTGGTTTACTAAATAAATGTTACGGGAAAAAGTACCCAAAATGGTGTACTGATATATAAAAAGGTTTTCTTTCATACCCAAATGAACAAGAAACATTTGTAAGAAACATAATTCACAAAAATGAAATTTGACTAACTTTAAAAATATAGTTCAGGTTTTGATTTTTTTATTAACACATTTTTTTTGCAGTAGGTTCAATGAACTTTTTTTCACTCTCTCTCTCCCTCGTTTTAGTATTAGTTTTCATATGAATTTACTTATGTAAATTTGTTTATTGCAAAGCTTTTACAAATTATCAATTTGCTAATTGCTGGTTTGTTTGTTTGCTAAATATTTTTTTGTAAGGAATTTCATAATATTTATTAGAATTTTTTAGAGGTTTAATAGTAAACCAAAAATACCAAATTCGGACGTGGCCAACTATATGGCTACATACAGAGATGCTCATACGTACGATATCCTATTGATAGTAGATAAATAGCATCTTTAGAGAACAATTGATATGGAATCTGAATAAATTAAATGTGGAAGTTATCTATACCGAATTAAATTAACCCATACACCTATTATTCTGAAATCTATAAAAAGTTTTTTGTCAATCAGGTGGATTGGGGTCCGAAATCCTGCGAAAAAATATGTATGAGAGTTTTAGGTAACGTTGGGTATTTAGAGCATAATTTCATGAAATCGAACGAAAAATCTGAACCGATTTCATCAAAAAATGGCGCGCGCGTTGGGCTATACCAAGGCACAATGAATAGGTAGTCCATTTAGCGCAGCTGATGTCTTGATTAACTGTCAAAGTGGGTAATTTCTACTTGAATTCGATGTGCAGTGTTGCCAACTAATTGAAATATTAAAATGGAAAATTTGACAGATAATCGAGACAAAAATAAAGGTTGTTGTTGTTGTGATACATCACCTTATTATTGCATCATGGGCTATACTAAATTTATACGTTGTCCAACATTTCGTGTCAATCCATTGTGTATAATATTTTATTGTCCTTTATCACTCTTATGGACTATTTTTATTATTCATTTTTTTTGCACTTAACAAGATCTATTAATTTGGTCAACCAGCTAACGAAAATCAGCTGTTTTTTCTCAAGTCTAATGGCAAAGATGTGGATTTTGTTTACGTTTTTATAATGGAAGTCTATTCACAATAATGGATTTTGACAGGAACCTTGAGAGGCAATTGATATCCAGCTGGTCTTTCTGGAGGAACTTATTTATAGGCTTTGGCTCTTAACGTGTATCAAAAATCGAAATGGCCGTCCCATTGTTTATTAATAAGCTATTGATAAGCCAATGATCTATAAGCCATTAATCTATTAATAAGCTAGCGAAAATCAGCTGTTCTCAAGTATAATGCCAAAAATTTGAACATTGTTTACGTTTTTATAATGGAAGTCAATTCACAATAATGCATTTTGACAGCAAACTTGAGAGGCAGTTGATATCCAGCTGGTCTCCCTAGAGGACCTTATTTATAGGCGTTGTTTACGTATAAGGTCAACTTGGATAATCAGCTGACACTATTTGAGGCCAGCGTTGGCAGTTTTTTATAACTGAACCACCCTAATGAAAATGTGTTATGCCCAAAAATTCCGTATATATATATATATATGAGCACACAACGTGTTTATTCCTAAAGGAGTTTCAAATAATTCATATTGTAATTTATTTCGAAGCTGTGATTTTCATTGTTGGCTTGTTGGTACATAAATCAAAAAAGTTCATTGATTCTATCGAAAATATAATCCCCAAAAAATCGCCAGAACCTCTAATGCAAAAACTAATCCTCATATCCAAGCAAAAATATCCGATTTGGGCAAAAATAATGGAAATCTATTCACAAAAATGCATTTTGCAAGCAAATTTGAGAGGCAGCTGATATCCATCTGGTCTCCCTGGATGACCATATTTATAGGCCTTGTGCTTTTTTCAATCAAGATCCATTAATAAGCTAGCAAAAGTCAGCTGTTTTATTTTTTTCAAGTCTGGTTTCAAAAATGTGGACTTTGTTTACCTTTTCATAATGGAAGTAAATTCACAATAATGGATTTTGACAGCAAACATGAGAAGCAGCTGTTCTCCCTGGGTTAATGGGTTCTGGTTCGAAATTTATTTATTCCAACATTTTCGCTACTTTTTGAAGAAACTCATATTCCCCGAACTCTATTCTATGGTTTTTTAGTAAACATTGCTTGATAAATATAACCTTGAACACAAAAATTACTACCTTTTTTCAGGGTTATACATTTTAACCCGCTTTGACCTTTACAATTGAATTTACGATAGTAGTCTGCAACAACAACAACAAAATTTACTGGGCTAGAGAATTATCGTTTTACTTCATTTAATTTTACTCTATATGTTCTTCAATCTCCCGCCCTCCGAACACCGCTGAGAGGTAGAGTAAAACAAACTGCTTTAGAGATAAGATAAGAATATGATTTCATATATTCAGACATATATGGTAGTGTGTCTAAGTTAACATTCACTTTTTTGGTCGCTGCGTTTTTCGTTTTCTTTATTTTTTCGCAATATTTATTAGGAATTCCGCTCTGAAAAACAAAAAAACAACAGCATTGGAATTTCAAAAAAAAAATTATTTTATTTTATTCTACTTTTATTAAACAAAAATGTGTGTTCCGCATTTACTTACAAATATTGGCAATTATTGGATTTCCCTACCCAGAAAAAGAAAACATTGTGACAATTAAAGGGCCCTGCCTAATGCTTATCATATCGGCCATCCACCGCGCAAAATGATAAGTAAGTTATTGTGTAAATTTTATTATTTACACCCTTAACAAAAAATACCAATTAAATCACGAAAAAAATATACGATGATGATGACACGAAAGGTAAGAACTATGCAATTGGAGGTGTGAATACCCTAGTAGCTATTACGATCCGACAATGTTGGGGGAGATATATTTGTAGATGTTATCATTTTTTGAGTTAAATGTGGTGTAGATTATTTAGTTTAATTGCTGATTATTATAGTCAGTTCAAACAGCAAAACGAACGACAAGTCGATATACATTGTCATCTATTAAATACTTTACAGTAAAAGGTGGATAATTGTATTGCCACTGCAAGATTTTTTTCCGGAAATAAATGTCAAATGAATTCCAAGACAAGCTCACACTCAAAGCCTATTAATACGGTTGTCCAGGGAGACCAGCTCAATATCAGCTGTTTCTCTCAATCAGCTGTTTGCTATCAAAATCCTTTATTGTGAATTGACTTCTATTATGAAAACGTAAACAACGTCCATAGCATATAAATAAGGTCACCCAGGGAGACCAGCTGGATATCTGCGCCACTCAAGTTTGCTGTTAAAATGCATTATTGTGAATTGACTTCCATTATGAAAAGTAAACAAAGTCGAAATTTTTGACATTTGACTTGAGAAAAAACAACTGTTTTTCAATTTCGATTGCTAGCTCTCACAAGGCCTGTTAAGACTTTGAGAGAGCTATTAATAGATCGTGACCTTATTATTATTGTGAATTGACTTCCATTATGAAAACATAAACAACGTCCAAATCAAGGCCTATAAATAAGTTCGTCCAAGAAGACCAGCTGGATATGAAATGCCTCTTATGTTTGCTGTCAAACTCCATTATTGTGAATTGACTACCAATTTGAAAACGTAAACAAAAGCCAAAATTTTGACATTAGATTTCAGAAAAAACAGCTGACTTTCGCTAGCAGGGTGGCCTTATTAATAAATTTTATTCCAAATGTTTGAAATTAGAATTGAGAAAAAAACAGCTGATTTTCCCTTGCTGTGTTACCTTCTTAGCGATCTTGCTCAAGGGATATTAATAAGGTCATCCAGGAAGACCAGCTGAGTATCAGGTGCCTCTCAAGTTTGCTATCAAAATCCATTATTTTGAATTGACTTTCATTATGAAAAAGTAAACAAAACTCAAACTTTTGACATTAGACTTGAGAAAAAACAGCTGACTTCAGCTTGCTTACTTGGTGATCTTATTAATAGAACTTTATTTTGCATATTCTGATAAAATCAGCTGTTTCAAAAGTTAGCTGTCAAATTATTATTTTATATTTATCAGATTCCAAGGCCTATTTTTAATTAAACATATATTTTTTTATTATTAGACTTGAGAAAAAACAGCTGACTTCAGCTTGCTTGCTTGGTGATCTTATTAATAGATCTTGATTTTGCATATTCTGATAAAATCATCTGTTTCAAAAGTTAGCTGTCAAATTATTATTTTATATTTATCAGATTCCAAAACCTATTTTTTATTAAATATTTTTTTTATTATTTCTTCCTTGCAGCACAATGACAAATAGCATACGTCCCCTGAAAATCACCATAGTCGGTGATGGTATGGTCGGCAAGACCTGTCTCCTCATTACCTATACACAAAATGAATTTCCCGAGGAATATATTCCCACGGTGTTCGATAATCATGCCTGTACCATAACGGTGGATAATAAAGAATATAGTTTAACACTGTGGGATACAGCCGGTCAGGAGGATTATGAACGTTTGAGGCCCCTGAGTTATCCTAATGTGAGTTGAAATCAAATTTACCCCTAACAATTTGAAATAAATTTTTGATTTCCTTTCTTTACAGACAAGTTGTTTCCTATTATGCTATTCGATAAGTAGCCGAGCCTCATTTGAGAATATCAAAAGTAAATGGTGGCCCGAAATACGACATTTCTCCAGTAATGTCCCCGTGGTTTTAGTTGGCACCAAATTGGATTTACGTATAGAGAGATCGGAAAAATTTGTTACCACAGCCGAAGGAAGACGTTTGAAAAAGGAAATTCGTGCCCACTCCTTTGTTGAGTGTTCCGCTAAAAAGAAGGAAAATCTAGAAGCAGTATTTGAAGAAGCGGTACGTGCCGTGGAAAAGAAACCCAAGACGGCTCCACGTAAATGTACTTTCCTATAGTTTTGTTAAAAATGGTGTTACAAATTCGAAGGAGAACAAGTATTTAATCTAAATACTTTTAGTTTATTATTATAAACAAACACACACACACACAAACAATAAATGATTAATTAATTTTAAATTATAATATTTTATCTATTTGCTAATTTCTAATTTAAAAATTATATATCTATTCTAATTGGAAAATATCAACTAAATGGAAACAAAGTTTCTTTTAGTTGGGAGTTTTCTTTCCATCTTTCAATCTTATTATTTGAAGTTTTTATTCTTTCTGTCACATTTTTTCCCCCTTTTCAAAAAAATAATCATATTGTTATTTAAAATTTAGTTTGATTTAATATATATTTTTGTTTAATTATTAAGTGTTATATAACCATAATTATATGATGAAGTTGTAAATTGTGATTGTTTTTTTATTGAAATTGAAAAATGATTTGATGGCAAGAAAAAAGTATTGAGTTTTTTATTTAAAACCAAGATCAAATAAACATGTAAGAAAATATATATGGGTTCTATAATTCAATATTTTTCCATTAATTGTTCAATATTTTTTTGCCAATAGCCTCAAAATGTAAAAAACATATATTCCAATTTCTTCCCTCAGAATTGAAAATGTTTTTTTCTAAATTTTTTAATTGTACCCATCAAATCATTAAATCAGATTTATCTCTATTTTTTTCTTTCTTCATATATATTATAATTTGTTTTGCAATCCTTTTCTTTTTTTTTCCTTCGCATAAATTGACCAAAGTTTGTTTTTACACATTCATAAATATGTTTTAAATTACAAAATAAAACCACGATTTTATTTTCCCAACAAATGGAAAATATTAAACATTTGATTATAGAAAATAAATAAAAAATAATTAAAATAAATTTATAAGTAATAATAATATTTAAATTTGTATGTATTGTATATGTAGGTAACTAATTTTTTTGTATGTATGTTATGTGCTATTTGTTAAGTTAATAAATAAATACATAAAACAAAAAATGTAATAAATAATAAAGAAATTATTATGCATGTATGTAATTATTATAATAATATTATTAAATAAACTAGTCATATATAAAAAACACAATTTGTTTTTATTTTTTAAATATGTTTTGAAATTTTCATTTGAAATTTTATATGGTCATTCTTGAATTAGAGTAGTGCCTTCCTTGAACTTCATAATCAAATATAATTTGAACTTCATAATCAAATATAATTTTCTATGATTAATTTCAAATCATTTGGACAGAACACCGAAGTATCCATTGGTTTTCATGGTTAAATTGCTAACAGCTTTAACTTCTGACAAATCAGCTGATTTTACTTGGTTTTACACATGACACAATAAATAGCTCAGCTGATGATTCGATTAACTGTCAAAGTGCGTAGTTTATGCCAAGATCTATTAATAAGGTCACCAAGATAGCAATCGAAATCGGAAAACAACTGTTTTTTCTTAAGTCTAATGTCAAAAATTTCGACTTTGTTTACGTTTTCACAGTGGAAGTCAATTCACAATAATGCATTTTGACAGCAGACTTGAGAGGTATCAATTTCCAGCTGGTCTCCCTGGGAGACCTTATTTATAGGGCATGGTTTATACCATGGCACAATAAATATGTAGTCCATTTAGCGCAGATGTCAAAGTGCGTAATTTCTAGTTGTATTTGATGAGTAATGTTGCCAACCATAGTCGAGGCAAAAACAAAGGTTTTCGTTTTGATAAATTACCTTATTATTACATCATGGTTTCTACTTAACAAGGACTATAAATAAGGTCTTCCAGGGAGACCAGCTGTATATCAGCTGCCTCTCAAGTTTACTTGTCATTATTGTGAATTGACTTCCCTTATGAAATCGTAAACAAAGTCCAAATTTGCTGACATTTGAATTAGAAAAATCAGCTGATTTTCGCCAGTTGGGTGACCTTATTGCAGGGAGACCAGCTGTATATTAGCTGCCTTTCAAGTTTACTATCAAAATCCATTATTGTGAATTGACTTCCATTATGAAAACGTAAATAAGCCAAATTTTTATTAATATACCTTGATGACTATTATAAAGGTCACCTGGAAGAAACAGCTGATTTTGCAAAGTAACCTTCCCAAAAGGATGTAAACAAAAATATTGACAATATGAGGTTAATTGAACCATAATTTACGATTGTTGTAATGCTGTGCTTGACTTGTTAAGTATTCTTATGGAAACGTTACAAAAATCTGGACAGTTTGAGGGCAATTCAATCACAATGATATATATTGTTGGTCTACTAACTGTCCTAGAATTTTGTAGTTTTGATAAAAAGAACATCTGCTACAGCAAAATATAATACTTTTGGGCTCTCTTGTCTCTCTTGTAGCGAAAAGTTAATAGTCGTTTTTTCTTCTATAAGAATATCTTCTGGTCTTCTAAAGAGTTTCAGGTCGTTTAAAAGAAGAACTTCTGCTACTGCCTATGAAAGTCTTGTGGTACTATTTGTTCTTCTATAAGTATATATTTTGTTTTTTTTTAAAAAAGAGTTTCAGGTCTTCTATAAGAACAACTTCTGCTACTGCCCAAGAAAGTTTTATGATATCGTCTCTTAAACTAAGACCTATAATTCTAAAGGAAGGAACTCTAGTAATTTCTTCTATAAGAATACCTTTTTGTCTGTTGTGAACTTTTACAACAATACCCACTTTTCTTCTATCAAAGAACATTTTCTTCAGGTTGGGAAGACCTTTCAATCTGGTATTCAAAACGAAAACCATTTATTTATTTCTTCTATACTTCATTCATTCTTATTTTGTTCTTCTACCTTCTGGTCTACTATAAGAAGAGCCTATATTTTCTATGTGTACATATTGTACCCCTATATAAAAATAGTTTCTGATCTTCTGGAAAACCATTAGGTTGTGGCATAAGCGATAAAGGTTTCTTACTATAAAATATTAATCGTTATTATTGTAACACACCTGCTGGGGTTTTTAATAATTGGAACGACTTCTTAGAGAAGACTAATTGGACTTCTTTTGGAAGGCTATATGAAATTCTTGAAATGTGTAGGTGGGATTCTTTTAGAAAACTACATAGACTTCTACATCGGCTTCATCGAAGACTAGATGGACTTCATGGGAATCTTATAGATGTCTATATATGAACTTTTTTTTTAGAATAATAGATGGGCATCTTATAGACGACTCAATGGGATTATCATTGAAGATCACTTGAACTCCCTATGGAAGTCCAGATCGGCTTCTTATATATTACTAGATTGGATTTCTTACAGAACACCAGATGGGATTCTTATTGTGATGATAATGATTTGAATTCTATAATAACATATTGCCGTATCTTCTATTCCATAGGAAGACCTAGAGGTCTTCTATAAATATAACATAAAATCTTCCATAAGAAAACCTGCAGAGAAAACAGTCTAGAGTCTATATCTGTTTTAAGAAGACTTTTAAATTTTGTATACCTATGTCCTTCCTGATTTCTATCAGTTATTCTATATGAATGCCTTCTTATGTTCTATTAAAAAAATCTTTTATAACACAACCTTTTGAATTTAAATACGAGGATTTTCTAAATATAAAAAAGAATTTGGTCCAAATATTTTGTACTTACCTTCTGATATTAGCTTGATTTTTTATACATTTTCCATTCCAGTGAGACTCAGAAGAGGATGCCAAAAAAGTGGCTCCGATCGTTTCATTATTAGTACAAAAAAAGTAACCTATTTAAAGTAGAGATTATTATTAGATATTTGCGAGATTTTATATCTTTCAAAATTATACCAAAACTGGATTATTTTTTTTTTTCAAATTTATTAAATTTCTATGTTCAAATTGAATAATTCGATTTAAATCTAGTAAAACGGAACGGAGCTTAAAATAAAAACGACGACTGAAAAAATTGAAAAACGTTCCACCTGCTAACGAATGGGAGGAGAAGACAAAATGGCCGATAAAGATGAACTCAAAATGGTATAACCGAAAGTTTACGAATGAGGTGGGATAGAGACTAAATGGAAACCGTGTTGTTTACGAATGAGGTTTAGGCAAATTATGATTAGGGATAAGTTAATCGACTGTAGACTAATCGACTCTTGTATTGAAAAGTCGAACTCCACTTTTGACTAATCGATTAATCGTGGTTTGTTCTCGTACTGCTCGTACTGCAATATTCTACAACTTTTCACAACGACAACAAATTTTCGTTTATGATAGATTCTTCCAGTACAGGAATAGCGCATTATTCCAGAACTTTATTATTTTTTATTTTATGTTTTAATAAGAATTATAATTAAAATTCTTATAAAAAAAACACATTTTTAGTCGATTTTGCATTAGTCGATAAAGGTTGAAACTGGATTTCGGACAGGTTTGACAAAATCCAAAAATCGAAAATTCGACATTTTAGTCAGAGTCAAAAATCGAAAAGTCTACAAGTCGACTTTTGCGCTCGACTTCGTAATTCTATAAGCGTGGTTTTACATTTGCCAGGATCGGTGTTGAGAGTTCCTCTCTCTTGAGATGATAATTAGAGTTCCGATATTTTTAATTTTGTAATAAGCGTACTTTTTATTCACATAAGGTACGAATTGGTATAAACGTACCAAAACAAAAATTAGATTTTTTATTATTCGTGAATACATTTACGCTTAAATTATAACAAATATTATTTATGCAAATAACTGGTATAAATATTGGACAATATTTCTCGATAATTATGATTTATTATCATTTGAAGTAGAATTTTAGGTACCTTTTCGTACTTTTTTGTTCCTACCTGTTTTCCAACACAATTTACCACTGAGAAAGAGAGAAACTCTTAACACCGATCCCGGCAAATGTAAAACCACGCTAACTGATTGAACGTTGCCGTCTGAAAAAAAAATTGGAACAGATTATACATAAAAAGGGACCAAAATCAGATTTTCAAACCAACAATAAAAATTCAAGCGGAAATTTCCAAAATTTATTAGCAAGCATCGGACCAAATTGAAAAAGTATTTGTTCTTAGGACCAATTTTAGTCCGATATGTCCAAAACATCAAGTCTACTCAAAATAGTTCAATTCGTTCATTTTCTGAAATATAATCAGCTGATTTTCACTTCTTCCATCTCTTTTTCTATACAATGGAATAATCGGCCGTTATGCTTTACACTCATTCGCCGTAAACAACAAAGCGTATCGACAATTTTGTTTTGTGTTCATTCTTTATCAGACGTTCTCTACCATATACAGCATATGGAACGTTTTTAAATTTTGTTGGTAGAGGCATCACTAACAGCTCCTATATCGCTTCCAACCAAGTCGCTTGTTTTGCTGATATTGTGTAGAAATTGAATAGGAATCCATGAATTATGTCCACAGAAAAGGATAAATCAGAAAAGACGAAAATCAATGCCCAGGTTAAACATGTACCCAAAGATGCCCAGGTGATAATGTCGATACTGAAAGATTTGGGCATACAGGAATATGAGCCAAGGGTCATTAATCAATTATTGGAATTTTGCTATCGTAAGTAGCTATACATTGATACGTATTCCATAAAAACTATTCAATTGTTAATTTCTAGGATATGTAACATGTATACTGGATGATGCCAAAGTCTTTGCTAATCATGCCCGCAAGAAAACCATCGATTTGGATGATGTCAAATTGGCCACAGAGGTGGTGTTGGATAAAGCCTTCACCTGTCCGCCACCGAGACATGTAAGATGCGATTTTTGTTATTGTTATAACATTTTTTAACATATCGTTTTACATTTTAGGTCATTTCCAAATTAGCTGAAGTCCGTAACAGTATGCCCCTGCCGCCCATTAAACCCCATTGTGGTCTACGCCTACCACCCGATCGTTATTGTCTCTCCGCCTGCAATTATAAACTAAGAGCTGCAAATCAAGCTAAAAAGATGACTAAATCAGCTTTGGAAAATCGTAGTACAATTAAGGCACAAGTTAAATCCGGTGGTGCGGGTAGTTCGGTTAAACGTCAAACTGTCGCAACACCGAAAGCACAAGTTGTCACAATACCCAAGCCGGTTATTAAATTTACCACAACTGCCAAAACGGTATCAGTTGATAGTAAAGGTGGTATAACGGGTACATCTTCAGGTGCAGGCGGTGGTATGTCCGATACTATGGGGGAGGTTAAAATGGAAGTAGATTCCGATACAAATGCTGTTGTGGGCTCTATAACCACTGTACAATCCTCAAATTTGGGTGTTAAACGTGAACGTGATGAGGATGAATTTGAAGTAGTTCCATAAGTTAAAAAACAATATTTTTTCTATAAAAATAAAATTTATTTACAATTTTATGGTAAATTTGAATATAAATTATAAATATAAGTAATAAATAATTTGAAAAGGAAAAAATAGATTTTATATTATTAATAGTTGTATTTTAAAAAAGGGATTCTAATAGAAAACTAGATGGGCTTTCGTACAGAGCATCCAGTGGAGTTCTTATAGAGCCAAAAAGTCTTAGGAGTCCTTATGGAAGACCAGTAGGTTCTCGCATAGAAAATAAGGGGGTCTTAGGATACAAGATGGGATTTTTACAAATACTAGGAGGTTTTCTTATTGAGCACAAAAGTCTTAGGAGGCCTTATGGAAGACCAGTAAGTTCTCGCACAGAAAATAAGGGGGTCTTACTATAAAATATCAATTGTTATTATTGTTGAAAACCTGCTGGGTCTTCTTTTGAAGACCAGATGAGATTTTTATAGAAGACTAGATGTAAACTTATATTTGAAAAATAGATGAACTTCTTGTAGAAGACTTCATATAGATGTCTAGATGGACTTCTGGTAGAAGACTAGATGGTCATATTATATACGACTAGATGAATTTCTCATTGAAGACCACACGAGCTTTCTGTTGTAGTCCAGATCCGCTTATTTTAGATTACCAGATGGGCTTCTTATGGATGACCAGATAGACTTTTTATAGAGGGGAACCGATGGAGTCTTTATAGAGGGAAATAGATGGACTTTTTATAGAGCGGAACAGATGGGCTTCTTATAGAAATGAAGTTGGGATTCTTATAGAAGAACAGATGGGATGTTTATAGAAAACCAGATAGGTTTCTCAATGTAGACCAGGTGAACTTCTTTTAGAAAACTATATGGGCATCTTATAGACGACTAGATGGGTTTCTTGTTGAAGACCACATGATCTTCCTATAGAAGTCCATATGGGCTTTTTATAGATAACCAGATGGCTTCTTATAAAACACCAAATGTATTTCTAATAGAGCACCAGGTGGACTTCTAGTTGAAGACCATTTGAGGTTCTTATTGAAGTCCGGATGGGCTTCTTATAGATAACCAGATGGGCTTCTTATAGAACACCAAATGGATTTCTAATAGAGCACCAGCTGGGCTTCCTAAAGAGGGGAACAGATGGGCTTCATATAGAGGAAGTTATGGGTTTCTAATAAAAGTGCAATAGGAATTCTTATAGGAAACAAGATGTGTTTCTCATTGTAGAACAGATGGGTTTCTTGTAAAATGGATATATTATAGAACTCCAAATGACCTTCTTAGAAAACACCAGATGGACTGATTGTAGGATACTAGAAAAACTAATGAGGTTCTTGCAAAAAAGGGAACGACTAGATTATTTTCGTATAAAATACCGGAGGGTCTTCGTACAAAATCTCAATAGAATTTCGTATATTAGACTGTCCTATGGTATAAAAGAAAACCAGAGGGTCATCTCATAGGATGCTGATGTTTATAAAAAACCAAAATACCTGATAATAGAAGATAAAGAAAAGAGAACTTCTTAGAAAAGATCATTAGTACTTCTTATAGAGGGTCAAAGGCCCTTCTTATAGAACAGCGGAATGTTTTCGAAAAGAGGAACAAAAGAATCTCCTTCCATTAGAAGAACTTATAGCCTACAACTATACGAAGACCATTAGGTCTGAAAATGTCTGCAAGTTTTTGTACCAGAAGGAAGGATTACTGCCCTTCAATACGAACACCGATTAGTCCTCGCTTGGAGGAATAGAAAATCTTCTTAGTAGTATACCAAGAGGTCGTCACATAGGCCACACGTTCTTCTAATAGAAGCTCAAGAATACTCCTATAATTTTTTATTTATATTTGACACCCAATGAGAATTTGAAAAATGGGGGCTACCCGGAAACTTGGACCAATATTGATAATTTTTGTTAGGGACATTTTCTACTCAATGAGAATTCAAAACAAAAAAAAAAAAAAATACAGCTAATTTGGTTGAAGCACGTGCCCAAGCTCCCCAAAATACCGATATTTAGGGTGTAGTGTTATATGAGGGCTTCCCTAAAAATGGACCAATATTGATCATTTTTAGTAAATATATTCACTGAAGACCTACTGGTCTACGTATAACTGTAGGGCATAAATTCTTCTAATAGAAGCTCAAAAATACTTCGATGGTCTTATATTAGGACGCTTATGGCAACCTTTTTTCCAGCACAATACACACTGGTAAGTATGATCATTCACGTCTGCAACTCTTGAGGCATCTACACAAGAATATTTGTGGCGATTGAACGGTCAGAAATTAATAAGATATTGTAGGTGTGTCTGGTTACCCTAAAGTTTGTAACAATTGTTACAAATTGTTACTGGAAGTCGTCTGTTAACCCAAAAGTTCTGCAAAAGAGAGCGGTTGGAGAGAGAAATTTTGACAGTTCTTTCAGTGAGAGTTTGCAAATTCTTGCTGGAAAAATTTCTTCTTGCAATCTCTTGCAACTCTTCTTCTTCTCATACATCGACATTCAATCAGATGTTTTCTATTGTTTGTTTATTTATTTTTGTGCTTTCAATTTGAAAATAATTTTTTTTGGAATTAGCAAGACTAATTGTTTTTGGAGAAAAACTTTACAAAACGAGAAAAACGTAAGTATTAATATGTAATAGGAAAATAAAAGACTATTTCCAGCATTTTTAGAAAAAAAACTTGTTAAACTGGTTGTGTTTTCTTTCTTTTAATTCTTTATAATGGCGGACAAATTGGTTTGTTTTGACAAATCAGCTGATTAGTTGCAAGCTTCTGCAGGGATGCCGTCTGTTTACTTTTCGCATTTTTCTTGCAAAAGAGAATAAAACTACCTTACTCTCTCAGAAAGAAGTTACTGGACAATTCCTGCAGGGAAAGTAACCAGACACACCTATTGTATCTTCTCTTAGAGAGTGTGACAATCGGAAATCATTACCAAAGCTACTTTTCAAATCTTACAAGTATCTACAACAAAAACAAACCATCATATGTTTCCACGACAGAGGGGTCTACGATCCGAAACGACCAGAGTCTTACTCGGCCAACGTCTTTCAGCTCAGCCCATTGTGAAAAAGCAATAGGGCTGCTACAACAACAATCATATTTTGTTTGTTGGGTTGACTGACTGACTCACTGACCGGCATTCAGTCGCAATCATCAGCTGGCTGGGTGTGTGTGTACAAAACAAGGTGTCAGTCGAAAATGGAAATTGAAACCAATTTCATGAAAAAATTCCTAATATGTTACGGAAAACAAAGTTACCTCTGGGACACGACTCTACCCGGGTATTATTCTAGAGGTGATGTAAAAAAGAAAGCTTATGATGCTCTCCGGGCAATAATGAAAAAATACAACAAAAATAATACAATGGATGATGTCCGGAGGACAATCACAAACATTCGATCGTCGTACAAACGAGAAGTGACAAGAATTAAAGATTCCGAATTGTCGGGAGTGGAACATACTAGATATAAATCGCAAAAATGGTGGTTTGATTATTGTAAATTTTTAGACAAAGCTACAGGTGATAGACTAGAAGCGGAAGCTGCAAAAGTCATATTTTCCAATGGTGATCGAAGAGTGAGTATGGGTCTTAATAATTATTCTGGAGAACATTTCTATGGTCATACAGTTAAGCGGTGTACACACTATCACTTTTGAGTGACAGACTGGATGGCCATGAATACTTTTGTGATTGGCTGGTGAATGACGAACATTAAAGGCCACACACAAGCAAAATTTAGACAAGAGTGTCATTCCAAAGTGATAGTGTGTACAACGCTTCAAATTCTGTCCCTCTTTTTATATTTGTTTGCTTCTTAGATAGTGTCGTCGGTCATTCCCGAATAGTTGTGTGACTATTGGACAATCCAACATCTATAAAAAAGAGCTGCGTGCAACAGCCACAATATTTTGTTTGCTTGTTAGTCGATTCGTTCGTTGACCGTATTTGTTTACCAACTGAAACCGACAGTCATCTGTTTGGTGTGTATACAGAAGAAGGTCGTTGATCCGTCGAAACTTTTTAACAAATAAATTCACATCGAAATGGGCATCAAAGCCGATTTCATGATGGAATTCCTTAGATGTTATGAAAAACAAAGATGCCTCTGGGACATCACTCGTCCCGGTTATTTTTTAAGAAGTGATTTGAAAAATATAGCCTACGATAGACTGCTGGCAATAATGAAAAAATACAAGAGAAATAGTACAGTATCTGATGTCCGGAATAAAATCACAGCAATTCGTACGGCGTATAGGCGAGAAGTTAAAAAAATGAAAATGGAACCGGGTTATAGACCGCGAATATGGTGGTTCGGTTATTGTAAATTTTTGGATAAAATCATATTTAGACGAATAACCGTAGCCGAAGAAATAGCAAAATTTTGTTACGATGACTATTCGACAGTGAGTATGATGGATTGAATTCTGGAGAACATTTTTATACGATACAATGCGTTTATACTATGAAATTATTTATTTAATTGGATTTAATGGGATGATATTTATATAAAATAATAATCCGTGAGAATTACTATTGTCCAAATTGAAAAAGTTCAGTAAAAAGTTATTTTGCTAGGAACATGACATAAAAATGCGTCGGAACAAGGTAGAACACCTTGATATGAATAACAAAAACGCAACTCTATAGGTAGTGGCTTCTTCTGTCAAATAAAAAAAAATCGCAACAAGTATTTGACATTTTTCTTAACGTATAACTAAAAATTCGAAAAATGATATTCAAAATAATACAAATATACACAAAATGTGCATTTTGATTCATCACGAGATTCAAAAAATCACATTTGTAGCAATTCGGATGATAAACATGCCTTATAGCCTATACCTCAATATGGACCGGTATTGAGGTAGGAAGGTTTTCCAATCCAATCAGAAACCAAAATATCAAATTTTAGAGACACGTTTTCCAGTCGATCGGGACATTTATAAGGGGACTATCTTATAGTGTTATGTGATAGTAGTTGTTCATGCCCT